GCCTCCTTTTAGTGCCTGAGAAGTGAGAGTATTTAAGGATCCTGCCAGCTTGAGCTCTGTGCAGTCTCCACTCTCTTTAGGAGTGTGACGCTTGGTAATTAGGTGGAGCCCTGAAATTAGACTGCACATGGGGTTTTGCTTTCGGCAGTGAGTGAAGTTGCTTGTGATCCTGGTGTGCGCACACTCACACAGGCTCCTACCTGGCTATAGCACCCTCTTTCTTCCCAGCCCTGCACTTCACCCATGTTATTTCCCATGTTGTACAGAAGGGAAGGAGACAAATGTGTAACTGGCAGGAAATCCATTTGAAATGGAAACTTAATATAATTGCTGCCAGCTGTTCAGAAAGAAGTGAGAATGAGCGATACTTTGTTAAACACCTAGCCCGTCCCATTTTCTCAGAGATTGGTTTCATAATAAGCTTGGTTCCATGGTTTCATTTCGGAGTCCGGGAAGCTCAAAGTTCTCATCCACTGGGGCTTGGCTGGTGTTGGACTGTCTGGTTTGTGGTTGGTGCCAGTGGACGTAAACACCTCACTGCCTGGCCTCGCCTGATGGGGCTCTGGGCTCTGAGCCATCTGGACTTCAACGTTGCAAAGGGCTCTCCCCTTCACCACTGTGCTCTGTCCCCTCCCCCAGATCTGGGATGAGGATGGTTTCCAGCTTCCCAGCTGCTCAGGCCTGACCCCCAGGCTGTTCTTGAACATCTCTCTCTCCCTGCCCATGTCCTATCAGATGTCGGTTGCTGTTATTTCTAGACTTTGAAGCCCCATGGCTGGCCTCTCCTTTTCTTCTGGCCTGGGTGGCTCATGGCTGTTGAGGTGATCCCCTGCTTCTAGGATCCAGAGCCACAGTCTTAAAGTGGCCTGTAAGTCCTGGCACGGTGCCTGGCACACTGTGGGTGCCCAGCAGTTGTTTGCTGAAGGAATGTGTGGAAGGTCTCCTGAGCTCACCCACTGCTGCTGCTCCCTGCTCCAGATGCATGGAGTCCTAGCACCTGCTCCCCGCCCATCTGCTGTCCACACTGTCCCCCTCAGCCCCCTGACCACTGCAAAGCCTCTCTCCCACTTCCCTCTGCCTGAAAACCTTCTCTCCCCAGCCCCCCCACCCACATTTTGCTCAGCTAATTCATTCCTCAAACCTCAGCTCAGCTTAAATCTCCTGTTCTCAGGGGGCCCTTCCCAGATGCCCCCTACATTAAATCTGGTTACTGCTTTTATAGTATTTTGCACTCTTCTACTGGGACACTGTGGTGGGCCTGGCTCATTTCTTCCCCCTGCCTGATTCCAGAGCGTGGCACATCCACTAATTCACTCAACATATCAAGCTCCACTGTGTGCTGGGGACGGCCAGGTGTGAGGCCACGTGGTGTGGAGCCCAGGGAGGAATCGTCACACAGAATTGTGCCTTTGCAATGTGATGAGAGCCATGGGGGAGAGGCCACATGGACAGCAGCACAGGGCTGGGGGTGTTGGGCGAGGATCCTGGGAGGAAGTGGCTGGGGTCCCCTCTCCCTCCCTCATCCTCCAGGACCCAGGCCCACCAGGGAGAAACAGGCAGGGCCTCCTAGTTAGTGCTGGATGTGAGTGGAGCCCAGTCTGCACAGGCCACCCCTCCTGGTGGGTAGCCATTCTTGAATCCTCTCCCTCGCCCCACCCCAAGCCGCCATGTTGAATTGCAGGAGACCCTGGAGGAGCACAAAACCAGGGTTGGCTAAAGCCACCTCCGTGCCATGGCTTCCAGGATCCCGGTATCCACTTCCATTCTTTATTCCTGATTACCTGTGCCTGCTCGGCCAGGTCAGAACACAGTGAGGTTCATCAAGGTGGCAGGCGTGTGAAGTCTACACAGGCCTGTACGTGGCTGGCCCTCCACGTGAACTGAAAGTCCCTGGCAGGCAGGGCTCGTGTTGTGGTCACAGAGACTGGGATGTGTTGGTGATACCTGAGGGGCATTTACTGGCTGGCTGGCTGGCTGGCCAGGGCTGAGACACACACAGAGAACTTGAGCACTATCGGCTGGAGGAAACTCTGTACCACAGATTCACTGCTGTGCCCCAGCTCAATATTTGCCTTTGACAAACACTGTAGGGCTGATGAGAAAGTTGAGGAGAATTTTCAGCTGATTAGCAGTTGGTAGACTCGTTAACTGAGGCCAGAGCTCATCTCATCCCTGCCGACAGATGGCCTGTATGATGAGAGGTTGTCTCTTGCACACTGGCCCTTTATATTTAAAAGAAAGAGGTAACAGGTAGAGAGGGAGGGACAGAGAGAGGGAGAAGGCGAGGGGGAAAAAAGCTTGCAGCACACTCTTAAAATGTTCTTTTTGAATTGACCTAAACAAATGTTTTCTTAGTAGCCTACCCTCTCGTATTCTCTCTGTCCACGCGACTTAGCTGGGGAAAAGTAAGCCCATGGTAGACAGCTGTCTGCTATTGGAAAGTTTCACAGTTCTTGCCCTGGACCTGCCCCATGCACATGGTGCCCAGGTCCTGCTGTGAGTGAAGGATGCTGGGGAGAAGGGTGTGGGCTCCGAGACTGCTAGGGTGCCTGAGAGACTCGTTGAGCTTCCACTGGGGCAGTCGGAAAATGCCCAGAAACTTCAGGAAGCCAGCAGCCTGGGGCAGAGGGTCTCTTCTGGAGTTGATGGCATCACAATCAGGTGTTAGGTACATAGGAACTGTCGGCGCTGTGCAGAGATGGGGAAGGGTGTGGGGAGACCCCATGAGTGCGGAGGTGGGAGTCAGAAGGCTGAGCCTATTCCCGTATAAATAATGAAGAAGAAAATAACTAGAGATATAACCATAGTGGTTATTCATAGGTGATCTTCGTTATCCATAGGTGATCTTAGTGATTCATAGGTGATCTTATTGATTCATAGGTGATCTCAGTTATCCTTAGGTGATCTTAGTTCTTTTGCTAATGCCTCTCAGGTCACGAAGTGTGAACCTGGGGTGACACTGAAAGGAATGACCCTAAAGCCCTCTGCCATTCCCTTGAAGGGCTGCTGGAGGGCGCCTTGGCTATGCCGCAGCGCCAGCGCTGGGAAAGCACCTGCTGTTTTGCAAGCTGCGGAAGGAAGTGTCAGAGATGGCCCCTTCCGCGGAGGAGTTAGGACAAAACTCTGCTCCTCCAAGCTTTTGTGGTGGGCCTGGCGGCTGTCAGGGAGGCAGACGTCCAGGGGCTTAGTTGTCGCTGTGATGCTGTGCTTCATTGGTCATGTTCCATGTTCACTTTCATGTTCCGCTTCTGCACCTGGTTCCTTTTTTCTTGAAGGGATAATCAGTAAAAGTAATAGAAACCTTAATGTCTTTGTTCTTTCTTGACGAGTATGGAAAAGTGCTGATGCCTTATGCTCCTTACCTCGTCTGGGCTACTAGAAAGCCTTGGACCCCTGCCTATATGACACGTGGTATACTTGACCCTATCACTGACCACCAGTGCCACGCCCTACCTCCCCTGCCCCCAGCTTTGTACTCAATAAAAGTCAGAGCATGCGGACACTTGGGGCCACTGCTGGACTCCGGGCTTTGGTTGGCAGCGGATCCCTGGGCCCATACTCTCTTTTCTGTCTCTGCTGGTCTCCACACCAGTAGAGAGGGGCTCACAGGACCCTGTAGAGCTGGACCCTGCAAAGGAGGTGGGATGGAAGGGCCCAGCGCCTGCCCCTTGGGGTTCCCAGCAGGGGCTGAGCATCATGACGCTCTGGTAGCCCACTTAGTAGACTGGTTGATCGTCTGTGACATGACGCTGTTTGAGTAGAGTAGCGCATTTTTGGCTTCAGACACCCTACAACATGCTGGGGTCAGGAGGCAGCAGTGGGTCCATGGCGCCTGCCCAGCCCAGCATGTTGGTGGTCGCTGAAGGTCATGACCCATGGCCTGACCTGGCTCGGTCAGCCCGGCCTGGCCATTTCTTCCCAGGCTCATTGCCCAGCCCTGGCCCCTCTCTGCCCCCTTGCCAGGAAATGTGAGCATTCCTTAAAGTTTCTCAATATTGTGATTTTGTTTTGTTCTTTCTGGTTCACTTGTCTTTTAGTTTTTGGCATTTTTTTTTCTTTTGAGTGTCTTGCTCTGTTGCCCAGGCTGAAGTGTAGTGGTGCAATCTCAGCTCACTTCGACCTCCACTTCCAATTGCTGAGGCAATTCTCCTGCCTCAGCCTTCTGAGTAGCTGGGACTGCAGGAGCCTGCCACCACGCCTGGCTAATTTTTTGTATTTTTAGTAGAGACAGGGTTTCACCATGTTGGTTGGGCTGGTCTCAAACTCGTGACCTCTTGATCTGCCCACCTTGGCCTCCCAAAGCACTGGGATTACAGGCATGAGCCACCACGCCCAGGCTTGGCTTGTTTTTTAATCAACACCTAGCTGTGTGTGTTCTGAAAATCGAATTGTGTTTCTGTTCTCATTGATGGCAGCTCACAGTCCCTGTGTGTGGCAGGGTGTGGAGGTCTGGGTAGGAGAATGTGCACCTCTGCTTCCCACCGACGCAGTCCCCATGGAGAGACACCAGCGGAAGCCAGGACTGACCTCCTGCAGGAGTCCGCTGGTTCCATTCCTCAAACGTTTCCTGGGCTCTCTGCTTATTCGTCATTAAGAGCACTGCAGGCAGCACACAGGCAGGGCCCTGGGTGCTGTGGGTGTGGCTCCCGCCAGGGTGGAGCTTGCGCCCTCCATCGGGAGTCACAGTGCATACACACAGCTGCAGAGAGGGGCTGCAGGACAGGGGAACCTCGGGAACCCCATAGTCTCCGCTTGCCCTGACTACGTGAAGAACACACTCTATTAGGTATCAGTGAAACTGCACACTGCGGGCGACATTCGATCATGAGCGCCAACGTCATCCAGCACAAGCTCCAAGAGGTGGTCATACTGCGTCTCGCTGATGGCCTCCCGTGGGATCATGCTCAGTGTCCTTTGAAGAAAAGGCCTGGGATTTGCAAAGCCTGGGAAAGGCTAAATGTCCAGCTAGATGAAAAAAAAATTGCCATTTTATGAGAAACTTTGGGCAGTCAGAAAGAAAAACAGCAGGATGAAAAGTCCTATTTTGAGAGCTCCCTTGTCTTCATGCAGGGGCTGCTGGCGGCGGAAACTGGCCGCAGACTGTGCTGACGGCTGTGAGGTTCAGGCTGGGAACGGCATGTGGACAGGTCCCTCCTGCAGATCTTCATCTGCCTCCGGCTCTCAGGTGCTCCTTGCCCAGCACCCTGTGGTCTCACTGGGTCAAACATCAGGGGCATGGCAGGGACAGTCTCCAGATAAATGGGTTTTCCTGCAAACGTCCTGGTCATTGACGGGCTGCTGGTTTTCCCTCTGTTGCCTGGCCGTGCTCAGGCCGTGTGCAGGATGAGGAGTTCCTGAAGAACTGTCTGCACCCAGGGCAGAGACTACGGGGTTCTGAACCCCCTGCCTCACAGCATCTCTGGGTGGCTGTGCTTGTTCAGTTGCCTTCTTTGAAACCCAAGCATCCATCCTCAACTGCCACAGACACAGGTCAAGGCCAGCCAGGAGGAGACACTGTGGGCCCCTGCCCGGTTCTCATGGGTGTCACATTTTGTCAGGACACGGATCCAGGCAGGACTGGGAACGACTGACTTCACGTCCAAGTCGGTTCCCATGTGTGGCCTCTGGGAGCTAAAATCATCAGCTTTCAAATCAAACAGGTTTCATCTGAGCTACAGAGATGTCATGGAGTGCTGTGTCCTCGACAGCTGTCGGTAAAGGACACAAGGGCCCTGAAGGGGCAGCAAAGGCCATGGGAAGATGCGGGAAAGAGCAAGTGTGGGAAGGCAGGGCAGGGCTGGCGGGCCTTCCCGCCTAAGTGCCTCAGGTACTGGAATGCCAGCTGTGAATAGGCATCATCCCACTTTTACGGATGCAGGATGGTAGAGACTGTGTCAGTGGCGTCTGTGTGTGTGATGGTGGCATTTGTTTCAGAGAAGATCCGCGTTGGTCAGGCGGGATCTGCCCTGCTCGTGGGCCTTGGGAGCAGAATGGCCAATGGGCGGTCTCTGCTCACCCAGGCCCGCTTCACTGCTGGGTGAAGGATTCCCCAGTTTCCTGGAAGTGCACTTGCCTCCCGAGGTCCCTTTGGCTGTGACTTCCCTGTCATGATGCTTCCTAGGAATGCAGAACAGATTCAGGTCAGTGTGTTCTGAGGCAGCTGAGTGTTGCATGAGTGGCAGCATCCGCAAACCTCGGTGCCAAACCAGGGTCACCTGTGCCCACTCGCAGCAGCTGATAGGTGTGAGCTGATCCTTCGCTTCTCAGGTGGGGGCCTCACGGGGCTGGCCTGCTCCCTGGACCCCCAGGCCTCCTCATGCAATGGCCCCCCTCCTCTGTTCTGGCGAAGTTCCCTTCCTGCCTGGCTCTATCCTCAAAGTCTGGGCACAGAATGGAGGCTGGCCCGTGTGGTTATCTGGTCTACACGCATGTCTTTGAGTTTGTGGGGGTGGTGGCTTGTGGGCCCAGAGCAGTAAACAAGGTGTCTGTCTTGTCTTGAATTTTGAGGCTGAACTGTCTGGAATTCTTGGACGTTCTCAAGCTAATTCAGTTGCATGAATTTAGAGGCAAAAGGTGGGGATAATTTTCCCTTAGATTTGTCAGTTCCAAGATGACACACTTTAGTATTCCAGAAAATAGATTTATACCCGATCGAGAATTCTCTCTCTCACACACACAGACACACACACACGAACACACACACATACCCCCCACACATGTACACATAGTAGGAGTTCAGGCCAATTACAAAGGTCAGGGACACAGTCCACACAAGGCCTCACACTGGTACCAATCAAGTTCAGGTGCTCAAGGCCACTCAGGTTCAGTGATTCACTGGAAGGACTCCTAGAATGCCCTGAAAGCTGTTACACTCAGTTATGGTTTCTGTGTTAGACCATTCTTGAATTGCTGTGAAGAAATGCTCAAGTCTGGGTAATTTATGAAGGAAAGAGGTGTAGTTGGCTTCCTCGAGGCCTCAGGAAGCCTCCAGTCATGGCAGAAGCCAGAGGGGAGCCGGTGTGCCTGTGTGGGAGCAGTCTTAATATATCAGTTCCTTACTGGGAAAGGATACAGATTAGGATCGGCCAGAGGAGGGGAGGCGGTGGGCAGAGTCCAAGGAAAGTCCCCCAGGTGGAGCTCCTGCTGCCCCTCCCTGCGGGACTGGGACTCGTGACTCTCCTGCGTTGATGTGGTGGCATGAGTGAGGGCCAGCCTCAACCTGCAGGGTCCAGGTTCTCATTAGGGCTCTGCTATATGGCTTGGCTGATGGAGTGACCACCTGAGTGGTCAGCCCCTGTCCCTGGGCCGATTGATGCCATGTGGCTTCCGTCCCCCACCCTCGGCTACATGGCTGGTCTTTCTGACATGGCCAGTCCCACTCTGACAGCATCTCGGTGGCTGACCCCACCCTGTCACATCACTGGACTCTTGGGTATGACCCAAGGCCCTGGGCAAACAGTGACTCCTGTCAAGCAGGACATTGTGGAGGCCAGTTCCCAGAGGTTGAGGACAAAGGCCAGGCCTGTTTGGGGCAGGATTACGTCCTTTACAGCAAACCTTCCTGCCCACATGCACAAGTGAAGCCAGGAGAAAAGGGAGTAGCGTGTCTCCCCAGTGGGTCCGGAACACCCCTTTTCGGAGGCTGCTTGGAACTTTCTTATCTCTTTTTATTTCTGATTTCTGTTGAAATTCCCTAGAACTAATGCCTATTGTGTGTACCCGATTACAAAGGGAATGATTTTCCAGAGCATTTTTCCTGTCAGGAAAAAGGAGGCACCCTGCATTTTTCTCAGCGAGAGAGAAAGGTTCTTTTGAATAATTTTTTAATTTACTAAAAAATTTCTGATCCAACTGCTAAGGGGTTGCAGCCTTCCTGCAGAGAAGCATGCAGATGATGCTGTTTAATGTTTGCATGGCGCAGAGCACGGCCTGTTGCAGCCCAGGGGGTGTGCACCATGGTGCTTTAAAGTGACTCCTGCCCTGTCATTGGGTGAGGAGAACGGGTCCCCAGGCTGTGAAGGCCTCGTCCCTCCTCACAACCATAGGAACCAGGGTGAGGTCCCTCTCTTGGCTGGACCCAGTTTGACCCGGACTGTTCTCCAGACCAGAGGCTCAGTGAAAATGAGCTACCCTCCCCCGAGATGTTGTTATTCATTTCTTCCTGGGGTCTAAAAAAAGTCAAGTATTTTAAGGTCCGTGGAGTGTAAATGCTTTAGTGCCCGTAGCACCTGCGTCTGCGGTGATCGGCACCCATGGGGTAGGGCGTTGCATCCAGTGAGATGTTCAGCGTCACGTTCCCAGTGGGGCTTTTGCTATTAGTGGCTTTTAAAATTCTGCTGCCAGGATGCCCAGCATCAGGGACATTCGATTTCCTGAAACAGCAGGGCTGCCTTTGAGCTCCTTGGTCCACGCCCAGAGTTTCCAGTTCTCTCCTGAGCCAGGCACTGGGTCCCAGAGAGTCTCTTGAGAATGACAGAGACACAGGATGCCTGTGCTCGGAAGCCGTGCGGCGCCCCAGCCTAGCCACCCCAAGTTCTAGCAGTAGCAGGCTCCCACCTGCACAGAGAGCAGGCTGTCTATCTGCACCAGTGGGGAGGCGGGCATTCTGGGAGAGGAGGGGCCCTGGCTGGGTGGCCACGCCGTGGGTGGTGCTGAGGACCCACCGGTGGCCTAGCCCCCTGAGGGCTGCATGTTTTGAGGAGGCCCCACCTTGGGCCTGGCACGGATCCTCTTCCCCAGATCATCTCATGATTCTCAGGGCAACCCTGTGAGACAGATGAGTTCTTTCATTGCCCACTGTTGACACCTGCGGAGGTGGAGGTGCAGGGAGGGGACACATCTTGCTCAGGATCACACAGCCAGGATGTGCCGAGGCTGAGCTAGACCTGGACTCCCCCGCTTCATGGCCATGTGGGTTTCTGCAGGGCACCCTTCCCCCAGGAGGGCTGGTGTAGACCTGTGTTGAGTGCGGGACAGCCACCTGGAGAGCCACCCTTGGCCTTCATAGGTAGGAGCCAGCCCTAGTGTCTTCGGTCCTGACGCCAGGGGGCAGGATGAGACAGGGGAATGGAGCCTGTGCTGCAGGTGTTGCCGTCTCGCTGGCCTTTCCTGGGCCGCCGCTGCCGGCCGTCACTCTTGGTTCCCAGGATGGCTCTCGGGAAGGGTACCTGGGTGGTCCCCGGCGGCAGGCGGGGCCCAGAACCACACAGCTCCGTTGTTCACTGAAGGCCTTCAGAGTGTTCTGCGCAGGCTGGGATGGGGGCGGCAGCTGCCTCAGTGGAGAATGTGAATCTTTGGCTTCTCAGGTATCCAACACCTTGGCAAGCAGCAGGGAGGGAAATCACTGAATTAGGAACGTGTTTGTGAGAAGTGGCAACTGCTTCCGCTGGGCTCAGGGAGGGGCTGCGGGCTGAGCCCCTGTCAACAGCATGAATCCCAGTCACCGCCGCTCCCTCCCGGGCCCTCCTGGCAGGTTCTGAGCTGGCGAGGGGATTTCAGGGTGGTGGGTGCTGTGTTGAGGCTTTGCTCCCACCTCTGCCTCCCCCCTGCCCACTTTGCTGGTCTTTTCCTTCACGCAGTCTTTGCTGCCCAGAGGGACCCTCCCCTAGCTGTTTTCGGGAGCCCAGCCCTTCTGCCGAGTTTTTTAGGCCGCTCCTACCCACAGGGACCTTCCCATGGGGTGAGCCGAGCTGCAGATCCCCGAGTTCATACTGGCCTTAACCCACTGAGACCCAGGAGGCCCAGCAGGACTTGGAGTTCGGGCCGAGGTTCATCCGGCTCTCTCCTTCCTCCTGACCCACCCTCCCAGGCACGTTTTCTAGAAATCACTTCATCTCTTGCAGAGTCACCAGTTAATGGTGTTGGAGGAAGCTCTGGGACGAATGGGTCCGAATCCCTCATTTGCAGATGGGGATACTGAGGCCCACAACAGTTCAGGCCCTGAACTGAGCCTGGAACCCACCTCAGGGCTGGGTCTTGGCCTTGCCCATCTGTCTCCCTTGGTGGGGAGGGCTGCGTTCTTCTCTTGGCCCCCATTCCCTCCCCTATTTGCTCTTCCAAATCCTTTTCATCCTCCCCACACCCCAGCATCTCCTTTCTCTTCCGTTGTCTCCAGCCTTGCCCCTGGCTCTGCTTTGGGGCCTTTGCTTCTGGGCATGAGCCCCCCTGCCCCCGACCTCCAGTCCAGCAGGAAGAGTGGGCACCACTGGCCAGGTTTGTCTTGCTGTGGCCGCGTGTTTGGGAGGCCTGGGGAGGGGCTGACAGTCCCGGGGTTTCTGAGGATGAGGATGTGTGCCTTGGAGCTCTCCCAAGAGGCCAGTCTTGGTTTGACATGGGTGGTTCCCACAAACGCTGGGGCTGGGGGGTTTCCAGCCGCCCTCTGGGCTTGCACTTTGGACCTTTATCGCCAAGCCTTCAGGGCAGGGAAGGGGAGAGGGAATGAAACCGGTGCAGCCAGCAGGTCCCCCCAGCAGGTCCCCCCAGCTCCGCCTTCTGGAGAGCGCCAGTGCCGGGAGCAGAATGAAGCCTGCGTGGGTGCTCCTCCTGTCCGTCCTGAGCCAGGGCTGAGGTTTTCAGCAGCTGCAACGCCACAGGACCTGTGAGGAGAGATGGCACGTGAAGGTCTGGTGGCCGGCAGACTCTACGCAAAGGAGGCCTGGGAGTGCCATCCTGAAGGCCCCACTCTCCTCAGGGCCAGCTGCTGGCCATGGGTCAGACAGATCACTGCGACCCCACAGCCAATGCAAGCAGATGCAAGCGTGGTTGTTCCTTGTCCAGGGAGCTGCTACCTCGGGCTGCCAGGGCCTGGCATCTAGTGGGCACAGCCAAGCCCACGGGAGCAGAGCCGTGGCTTCCAGGGGCACATGATGCTGGCCTGACCTGGGCTGGCTGAGGGGCCCAGCCCGGGCAGGCATCTGGGCTCCCCTCAAGCAGACTGCCTGTCTGCTGCCTCATCTCCCGGGAGCAGAGCCTCAGCCTGCCTAGGTGCAGGTCATCCACACAGCTTGGCCACACCCAGGCCACCTCACAGTCACAGCCATGCCACCTGCTGAGCCCCGAGATGTGTGGGCCACATGCTGGCTGGCTGCTTCTGCTGTGTTCCTGCCACAGCTCTCCCCAGCTCTGTGGGCTGGAACCAGGAGAGGTGAAGGGGAGGCTGGGCAGAGGCAGGCTGGGCAGAGGCAGGCTCTTGCTCTTGGAGGCAGACGTGGGTTTCGGTGCCGCCCAGCTCTGACACCCAGGTCGGAGCTGCTGCCCTTCACAGTCCAGCACATTTCTGGTCCTGTCTCAGGCCTACTCCTTGAACCTGCCTCTGACCTCATGGGAGTGGGTTTCTCTGGCGACCAGACCCTGTGTGGCCTTCTGCTTACGCCTCTGCCATCTCATGGCACTGGGGGCTCAGTGACCCCAGTTGGACCTTGCTCTGTGGGAAGCAGCCTGGGGGCTACAGGAGGCAATGTGGGGGTCACCCCATCTCTTTGGAGTTGGATACAACCTCCCGTCTGGCCTTAACTGTGCTGACTCCTGACCTCTGACCTTCAAGCCTCCAGGCTCGGTCCAACTGGTAACTTTAAAGGACACGGCCTCTTGGTGTCTGGGCGGGACCCATGGATCGGTATGGGAGGGCAGCTGGATACACTTTCTGGGGTCCTCTGGACTCAGGGGGTGCTGTAATCCCCTCCTCTTTCTGGTGACCTGGTAGGGACACCTCCTCCCAGGGACACCCTGCAGGCCAAGCCCAGGTCCCCAGGTCGCCCTCTCTCTTCCAAGCATTTGAAAGACACTGACAGATGATAATGCTTCCCCTCTTCCAAGCATTTGAAAGACACTGGCAGATGATAATGCTTCCCCTCTTCCAAGCATTTGAAAGACACTGGCAGATGATAATGCTTCCCCCTCCTCCCATTTAGGGAAAGGCCTGAAAGTAAAATTGTATCCACATTAGGTTTGGCTGATGTTGCCATCAGGTAAACCTGATGTTAATGAAGCCGGGAGGTTCTCTTGTGCGGTATTTGGACAGGCTTGGCGTGGAAACCACCTGAGGTATTGTTGATCCATCTGTTCATCAAGTCGGTTTTTTTTTTTTGAGATGGAGTCTCACTCTGTTGCCCAGGCTGGAGTGCAGTAGCGCAAATCTCAGCTCGCTGCAACCTCCGCCTCCCGGGTTCTCCTGCCTCAGCCTCCCAAGTAGCTGGAATTATAAGCACACACCAACACACCTGGTTAATTTTTAATATTTTTGGTTGGGATGGGGTTTTGCCATGTTGGCCAGGCTGTCTCAAACTCAAGTGATCTGCCCACCTTGGCCTCCTAAAGCGCTGGGATTATAGGTGTGAGCCACCGTGCCTGGCATGTTCATCAAGTTTTTATTGAGTATCTATTGTGTGCTGGTATTGAGGTAGACTGGGGATCACAGCAGTGAATGTGGCTGCCTGAATGCCTCGTGAAGGCAGGGGTCTCACCGGGGAGATGGAAATGAACAGCAAACCCACATTGAGGTTGGTCCCAGCATCTGAGACCACACCAAGGGCGAAGGAGGGGCTGGCAGTGCTGAGGCAGGGCTGCGTCTCTCAGCATCCTGATGGGAAACCATCTCTGGCGGGAAAGCCAGGGATCCATGCATGAGTGCAGTGATGAGGCTGCCCACAGGGATGTCACAGGATGCGAGAATCAGCCAAAACCTATGGCCCCTGCAGCCACTGAGGGCTTGAGGGAGCCCTACGTGGTGACATCCAGGAATGTGGCTGAGCGTGGGTGTTGACCTTGCCGTTTGCTGGAGTGTTTGGGTCCTTGGACCATGTCAGTGACAGCTGTGTCACCATGGCCTCGCTGTCCCCAGGAAAACCTTCCTTTAGTAACTAACGCGTCCTCTGGAACCCCATGCCTATCTTCTGGGACTCTCGTCCTCCTCCTTTGTCTGACCCCGGGGGATTACAGTTTCCCCAGTGCAGCTCTGGCTGTGGCCCTCAGCCCTGCTCTGGTTGGCCATGTCAGTGTCCTCCCTCGGCGTTCCAAACACTCTGCCTGGCTCTACGATGGCCACAGGCTTCCCTTGACTCCTACATGCCCCAGAAAGGGAAGACATTCCAGAGGAACTGTGACTCCCACCATTCTGCACAGTCATGGGTCCCTCCTCCACCCAGGCCCTCCATGGGATTTCTGTCCACATCCCCAGCTAGTGACCCCTCCCAGTCCCCACAGCTGGACCACCCCTCCATCCCGAGCATTCCGACACCTGCGTCTCTGTCACTACAGCCAGAGGGCTGGAGTGTCTTCTGTCAGCTCTCCATCTCTGCCATGGCTGGGAGCTATGTGTCCCAGAACCTACCTTGGGGGGTGGGGGTGGGGGTGGCAGACGCTGAATGCATGTGAGATGTGGGAAGGGAGAAGCAGAGCTGGGATGTGTGGGGGGGTCCTGGTGGCCACCGTGAGGGCGGTCACACTCAATGGTTTTGCTGATGCAGAGCTGAGATGTGGGGGGGTCCTGGTGGCCACTGTGAGGGCTGTCACACTCCATGGCTTTGCTGATGCAGAGCTGAGATGTGGAGGGTCCTGGTGGCCACTGTGAGGGCAGTCACACTCCATGGCTTTGCTGATGCAGAGCTGGGATGTGGGGGGTCCTGCTGGCCACCGTGAGGGCAGTCACACTCCATGGCTTTGCTGATGCAGAGCTGGGATGTGGGGGGTCCTGCTGGCCACCGTGAGGGCGGTCACACTTCATGGCTTTGCTGATGCAGTGGCTGCAGCAGACCCAGTGCTCTGCTGAATCTCCCTAGCACCAGTGCCCAGTGTGGTGTCAGGGGCTAAATGCAGGTGGCCTCGGTTCCTGGGACTCCCCCAAAGCTCTGGTTTCCCCCCTGCTCCCAGGTTTCAGGTGGACAAGTTAGTGATCCCCCTCACCCCAGACCTCCTATCCCCAGCCACCCCTACTGTTGTAAAAACTCTCATTCCTTATGGAGCCTCCTTTCCTGAAGTCCCTAGAGTGATTGACCGCTTTCTTGAGTGAATCTGGACTGGGCTGCGGGACAATCGCTGTGCAAAGCAGCTCAGCTCCTGCTTTCTCTGAGCCTCCCTGACTTCACAGCAGCTCTGGGTATCATCTCTGTGGCATCCTAATGCCACGGGCAGCGTTCCCAGCAAACAGGAGAGAAGCTCTCCTGAGATGAAGACTTCTCATAGCCCTAGAACCAAGAGCCCCTGGGTGGGGGTGGGTAGGGTGTTCACTGCCCACTCCTAGTGTTCTCTCCCAGTGAAGGACACCCATGGGGCCCCTGGCCCTCCCTCCTCTCCTCAGTAGCAGAGGGAACCTCCTGGTGAGTGACAGCCCATGGTTCACCCTTGTCAATTGGAATCAGTCAAACTATGCCAGGCTGTGTGCTGAAGGGAACCCTCTCTTCCTCGTCTCCTCAGCTGGATCAGGGCGAGGCAGTGGGTGGAGAGTGTGTCTGCCTGGCCAGCTCAGCCTCCATTTGGTCTGCTCTGGGGCAGGAGCCCGCCTGGCTCTCTCTTGACAACAGACTTTGGTTCTCCATCTGCAGGCGCATTTGTCTCATTTCTTACTCAGTTTAGAACTTGGGTGGGAAGAAGGGTGATGTGGTTTGGGTCCCCTCAAGATCCTGACAACAGGTATTTTTTAAAGTAGCATTTTAAAGCCACCAACTTTCTCAAGTCCACCTTGAAATTTTCCTGATTTTAAACAGAACGTCGGCTCTGGAGGCAGAAAGCTTGAGTCTGGATCTCGGTCCTGCCACGCCGTAGCTATGTGGCTGGGGAATGCATATCTTCTGGATCACCGATCCCTGCAGTAAAATGCAGATAAAAATACTTTTCACTGATGTGTTCGGAATCGAATGAGATAGCTAATGAATGAGTAAGTGCTTTGCAAACTCCAGATGGGGTGTATGTTCTGATCTGTTTTATCGAATCTGACACACACCCTCTCCCACCCCAGCGTCTCTGAATCAGGACGTGTCTGACAGTGAGTGTGGCATTCGGGCTGCAGTTGCCTCTGTCTGCTCACATGTGAATTAAAAAAACCATGTCAGTTCTAATCACGCGTGAACGTGGTGGTTATTCCTGGTGCCGTGTGGACAGCTGCAGCCTTGACACCCCAGTCTACAAACCATGTACGGACCAACTGAGGAAGGAGTAGAGGTTCTTGTTGTTGTAGAAGACCCTCCCTCAACTTCTAGAAAATGCCAGCATTCTTCAGACTTGGAATGGGCATCAGCAGCTTGGAAGACATAGCAGTGGGCCCTCTTAGCAGGAGCGCCCATGTCATGGCTCCTGACGACCCAGAGGATGACGCTGCATGGGCTCAGGGACATCAGCGCCATGAGTCAGGGGGGCTCAGGTGACAAGGGCTCTGATGGTGAGGACATCCAGAAGTAAGAGAGACCAGATGGGTGCGATGGCACCTGTAATCCAGGCACTTTGGGAGGCTGAGGCAGGTGGATCACTGGAGGTCAGGAGTTTGAGACCAGCCTAACCAACATGGAGAAACCCCCTCTCTACTAAAAATACAAAAATTGGCCAGCATAGTGGCATGTGTCTGTATTCCCAGCTACTGGGGAGGCTGAGGCAGGAGAATCACTTGAACCTGGAAGGTGGAGGTTGCAGTGAGCTGAGATCACGCCACTCACTCCAGCCTGGGCAACAGAGCAAGACTCTCTCCAAAAAAAAAAAAAAAAGAGAAATAACAGAGACAAACTTATTTTACTTATGCTTTCCTTTTTTCTGTATGTATAATGAAGGAAATTAGGATGAAAAAAAAAACCCTTCTAAGCCTATAAGAATTTTTTAAGTAATTTTTTTTAAGAGACAGGGTCTCACTCTGTGACCCAGGCTGGGGTGCAGTGGTGCGATCCAAGTTCACTATAGCCTCCAACTCCTGAGTTCAAACGATCCTCCCTTACTGGCCTCCCAAAGCATAATAAAATTTAAATACAATTATAGATAATAAGAAAGCATTGTGTTAAAGTTTAATTGGAAGCATTTTAAATTCTTTCTTACTGGTTCATTAGATAATAATCTTTGCCTTTGATTTGATGAACTGAGTGCTTTATTCCAGGCAGATGCAGACAGACCTGAGTTCCAGTTTTAACCTCAGCTCTGCAGGTAAACAGTGGCATGAACCTGACTGCATTGCCTGGTCCTTCCGAGCTTCGGTTTCCTTATCTGGCAGAGGGGCTGTATCTATTCTGGTTCTCTGGGTTGCAGGTGATGAGGAGAAAAAACCCTAATTGTCTGAAGCCAAAGAAAGGACTTCAGATCTGGTAACTGCAAGTGGGGCTTAGCCTCCCTCTCTGGTCCTTGTCACCTCCTTGTGGGCTTCAGTCTCGAGTTCCAGGTTGGAGCAAGACATGGCCAAAGCCCAGGGCCTGCATCCTCCCAGATTCCAGCCACCTGGGAGCACGTTTGTGGTCCCTGCTCTCTGATGGGGTCCCCTGCTCTGCCATTGGTGCCAGGGGACTGCCGGGGCTGATGGGTCAGGCCTGCACTGGAGCTTGGTGGAGTCGGCTTCATCCTGAGGTTACTCCTCTGCCAGAGGGGTATGGGTGGTCCCCAGGGTAGGGAAAGTGTGCTGGGTGCCCTTCTGTGACAAGGCATGTGTCACACGCATGGCACCAGGACAGACACATACTCACAGAAGGGGCTCGACAGGCTGAATTCTCCTTTCCCTCCTTTTCTCTCATGTCCACTCTTTGGAGCTAACTAGTCCAAGTTGGAGGGTGCACAGGCAAATGGGGGTGCTGGCATTCCAAAGGGGGCCTGATACAGTTTGGCTGTGTCCCCACACCTGGAATTCCCACGTGCTGTGGGAGGGAGCTGGTGGGAGGTGATTAAATCATGGGGGGGGTCTTTCCCATGCTGTTCTCATGATAGTGAATTAGTCTCATGAGATCTGGTGGTTTTTAAGGGGGGGGTTCCCCACACAAGCTCTCTCTTTGCCTTCTGCCATCCATGTAAGATGTGACTTGCTTCTCCTTGCCTTCCACCATGATTATGAGGCCTCTCTGGCCACATGGAACTATAAGTCCATTAAACCTCTTTCTTTTGTAAATTGCCCAGTCTCAGGTATGTCTTTATCAGCAGCACGAAAATGGACTAATACAGGGCCCCTTTGCAAACAGCGAAGGAGCCTCACGTCCCACAGAGACAGGCTCAGGTGTGTCTCTGAGGCAGGCTTTCTTTGTGCAGAGCTGCCTTGCAAGGGAGCCATGGAAAACACCTGGATTACACAGATGTCTTTGCCTGGGGGTGGGGAGTCAGCAAGTAACCTCCTTGTTTTTGGAATAAGCTCATGCATTTCTGCTCATGGGGGGCAAAAAGCAACCTGCGGAGGCCCTTCACTGGTGTTCATGCAGCAGTTCCTAGGAAACTCTTGGGCTAATTCCAGGTAAAATTCTCCAAAACATGGGCTGCAAAAAGCCCTGAATGCTGGAGTGATGGCAGGTCGTGACCAGACAGAGAAGACCAAGATCCCTCCCGGGATCATCGAGTAGGGGATTGATTTCCAGGACCACCACCTCTGGACTTGCCAAAGAGGAGGCAGAGGGCTGCTGTGAGCAGCGCTGGAGGACAGGGTGCCTGAGGGCATCTCATTCTCCAGCAGGATGCCCCCGGTTGCCTCCCTCCCACCTCTGGACCTCTGTCCACAATTCACCAGCTACAAAGGGCTTGCCCTCCCCAGAGTTATTTGTGGCTTTGCTGCTCATGTGGGTCCCCTGCTCAGTGCAGAGGAGGCCTTTGTGTGCCAGGAAGGCCACCAGTGGAGGCCAGCAGATGCTGCCATTTAACCCTAGCCCGCAGTGCCAGCTGCTCTTGCAGGGGCAATCTTTCCCTTTTTTCAAATAGGGGCTGAAAGTCATCTGTGTCTGGACCCCTTCCTTTCTCAAGGACAGTAGCAGTGGAAGGGGATGCTCTGCCCTGCTCCAGGAAATGATTTTTTGTGAGCGGGCACACGGGGCATCTCTTGAGACCTCCACATTCGCTCTTTGGCCACTTTCCCTGGTGATGAAGGCCCAGATTGGCCGGCAGGCCTTCCTTCCTTCCCTACCTCCCTCTTCTCTGTCTCCTTCCTTCCCCTCTTTTCTTTTCTGGTCTTTCTTCTTTCCACTCTGTCACCCTAGCTATAGTGCAGTGGCACAATCAATCTGAGTGCATCCTTGATCTCCTGGGCTCAAGTGATCCCTGCCCCTCAGCCCCTATGTAGCTGGGGCTGCAGGTGCATGTCACCACCACATGTAGCTAATTTTTGTATTTTTTTTAAATAGAAATGGGGTATCACTATGTTGCTAAGGCTGGTCTCGAACTTGTGCT